TTGGGTAACAAATAATTAAAAAAACGTTTTTTTATGATTTGTTTGTCTTTTATTTTTTGTGTTTGTTTTTAAATGAGCAACAGCAAGTTTCCCTATTTGTCGCTAGAGGGCGCCAGACTCAGAAAATTTAAACCCAGTTAAGAAAGAGTCTGTGGAGAAAACAAGAGAAACTGAACTTTTAACTTTAGTTGTTTCGTTTTTACACTGCTATTGATTTATTTGCTCATAAACCATTTATCATTTCCAGTTGGATGTCTCTTCCATCTTTAAGGGGCCCCTGCATGATTTGGGCTTGGTGGGGGAGGGTGGGGGGAGACTGCGGTCCCTCCTCCGTCAAACGTCAGTGCAAACCTATAAAGCTCATCTGAGGCACTTCTAGCTGCTGCTGTGTCCTCGGAGACATCGAAGAGGCTCTAAAACATCAAGGACAGAAGGAGGGGGACCGTGCCAAGCGGAGGGACGACCACATCTGTTGGGACTGAGCGCAGGATGCGATACAGTCTTTTTCCTTCTATTTGGATCAGATGAAGTTTATAAACGTCCGTTTGAGACTAAGTTGAAAGATTTTTGAAAGTAAAATCTTATGAAAACACGCAGAAGGGTCAATCCAGAAGTTTAAAAAAAAGTTGTTTTTTTTGGAGGAACATTTTCACTTTTTTCTGCAGAGCGAAGCAAATGCGCGCAGAGAGATGCATCTGGCCAAGGCGCTGCTGTTCGTCCTCCTCCTCAACTGCGCGACCCTGAGCTCCCCACTGTCCACTTGTGCCACTGTGGACCTGGACCACGTGAAGAGGAAGAGGGTCGAGGCGATCCGAGGTCAGATTCTGAGCAAACTCCGGCTCACGAGTCCCCCGCAGTCCCTGGGACCGAACAAAGTCCCGTACCAGATCCAGGCGCTGTACAACAGCACGAAGGAGCTGCTGGAGCAGCTGGGGAGGGACAGGAGGCAGAGCTGCGGGCAGGACAACTCAGACACGGAGTACTATGCCAAAGAGATCTACAAATTCAACATGCTGTACGGACCGCCTGAAAGCAGTGAGTGAAAATGGTTTAACGCGGCTCTTGTGCGTAATTACGCACGGACGCTCCATGTGCCAACCAGATGATTTAGCCTTGAAAATGTAAATATATGTCACTAAAAACGATGTTTCTGGCTTATATCACTGATTATGCTCATAAATGTGTTCAACCTCAGCTTCAGGATTAATTTCCACTGTTGGTTTAAATTAAACCTTAAGATGAGCAGAGGGAAACCAAGTTTGGATCAAAATACGTTTTACCTTCAGTGTGATTAAAAAAAAAGTGAGCACATTTCAAATGATGATATGTGTCTTAATTTCCAATAATTAAAACTCAGATGATGCTGCAGTGAGCTGAGCCAACCTGTTTTAAAGTCTGAACCTGTGTTCCAGGAAGGTCACTCCCCTCCTTTACTCCCAACTTCACTGGGTTTTTCTTTACTTTCTTTTTTTTCCCTCCTCCTCTTTATGGATCATGTTCCCCTTCCCAGATGTTCCCATTTCCTTTCCAGTTAGGCCCAAATGAGAGGGACATCTGCCCGGGCGGATGGGGATGCCTTTTGGGGGAAAGCAGTAGGAAAAGTTAACAGAGCTGAACAGGAAGGGTTGGATGAGAGAGGGACCTCTACATTAACCTTGAAAGATGGATCTACCCCCCACTGAAGAGCGTACAGGGGGAATGAAGCCCCCACAATTGCGCATAACTTTAAGGGCGCTGTGTGATTTGGTCTAATGATTAGGCAGTAAAATATTTGCTGTTAAAGTTTAACTTCAAACAGAGAGCGAAGCTTGAACGACTCCATTCCTCACTTTATAACTCTTAAAAACAATCAGCTTGGTTTACAGCGGCCTGTGTGGACGGGTCGGACTTGTTCAGAAGAAGTTGTTCGCCTTCTTTTCACTTGAGCCTTCCATGTGTTTTTTTTCTCCAGTGCGCTGAGAGGGACATGTGTCATTACTTGAAAATAAAAGATTCAATCAGCATGTGGTTTTATTGAGAACACAGAAGGGGGATAAAAGCTGCGTGTGAGTCCAAAGCAAAGCCCAGTTCATGACACCACAGCTCCTTTGAAATCAACAGGTGTTTCCCAAAAAGCTGTTTTCCCTCAGAGATGTTCTGCTTTGAGTTTCACAATGACTTGGACAAAGAAAATCAAATATATATATATATATATATATATATAAATATATATATATATATATATATATATATACACACCTCTGCAGTGGCTCTTTGTAGCGTTGATGAAAACTAACTTAAAACTATATTTTATTGATTTTTAAACTAACAACAACAATAAAGGGGCTAGTTTTTGGAGTTTTCCTGTCAATTATTTTATAAAAATAGTAAATTGACTGTACTTATATAGCGCCTTTCTATCTAATCAAGATACTCAAAGCGCTTTACAACACAATCTGTGCCCTCGTTTACCTCCACACACACATCCACACAGCTTTCTTCTAGATCTCTACAAAACTAATCTTAATCTGTAGAGATTAATCAGAGCTTTATCACATTCATACACCGATGAGACACACATCAGAGGTGATGGGGAGTTCAGTGTCTTGCCCAGGGACACTTCAACATGTGACTGCTGGTGGAATTGAACCCCCAACTCTCCCATTGGAGGATAACTGCTCTAACCACTCAGCCACAGCCGCCCTCGAAATGTGAATAGTTACACAAAAGTAATCCATAGAAAAATGCAAAGGTGACATTTTATTCAACTTAATACGTGCTGTACAGTACCTGTACATATATATATTAAATTAAGTTATATTTCAAATGTAAAACTTTACCTTGAGGTTTTTTTTTTTACGGTACAGTATTGGAACTTGTGTTTATTGCAATTTTAAAGGTTGGGATGGTACTAAAATAAATAAAATAAAGATGCGAAACAAAAAGGGGGATAATAATAATTGTTAAACCTATTGATTGTGGTTTACACTCATCTGCAGGTCAGAGGTCACTCGTTCAGGGATGAAGATGTTCACATCCTTGATAGAAAGGAACAATGGTTGAGAGAGGAGTGGAGGAAGCCATCTTTGTGACGAGAAACCGTCCATCCAACAATGTTCAGTCAGGTCATCTGGATGGTTTCCTTTTTTGCTGAGACATTTTGTCCTTCATCCAAAGGACTTATTCAGTCCGAAGAGTCACAAACAAACTGGAGTCCCACAAGCAACATACTCTCATAGTGGGAAAAAAACCCAGTTTGCTGGTGATAAGATGGTTTCTGGGGCCCACCCTCTCCTCCATCAACTTCTCTGAGGCAGCCATGCCAAAATGTTACGTGTGGGACTCCAGTTTGTTTGTGGCTCCTCGGACTGAATAAGTTCTTTGGATGAAGGATGAAATGTCTCCGCAAAAAAGGAAACCGTCCAGATGACCTGACTGAACACTGTTGGATTTGTACCTGGATTATTGAACATGAAGTTTGTTGGATTTG